CTTCCCTCCTTTCTTCTCTCCTTCTCTCCTTCCTTCCCTCCTTTCTTCTCTCCTTCTCTCCTTCCTTCCCTCCTTCCTTCTCTCCTATATGTCTTATTCTTTAAAAAAATGTATAACCAATAAAGATTATTTTATTAAAAATAAAATAAAAAAAGCAATGTCAAAGAAACAAGATGTTCCATCTCTTAGGTACTTAACCCCCACGTAAATATCAACTCTCCCCTCCCTCGCGGAAAGAATATGACTATCCAAACTGGAGAACCGTGTCCAGTCTTCAGGAGTTGAACTTCAAAGAGTTCTTAGGTTGTCCCAAGATGGATAATTTAAGATCCAATCCTTGCTTATGATTACTGGAGGAACAAGACAAGAACCAATGATTGGGAACTCATCAAAGAGAGAAGCAACTTGGAAGGAAGGAGAAATTTCCTAACAGTGAGGACAATTAACCAGTGGAACTGCCTGCCTCCAGAAATCGTGGGAGCTTCATCACTGGAGGTTTTCCAGACATCCACTTGTCTGAAATGGGATAGGGTCTCCTGCTTGAGCAGGGGGATGAACTAGAAGACCACCAAGGTCCTTTCCAGCTCTATTCTCATTCAAAGTGTCTCAGGCAGGGGTGTCAAACTCAATTTCATCCATCAGGGTTGTGTTTGACCTCAGGGGGGGGAGTGTGGAGTGGTCATGGCCAGAGTGGGTGTGGCCAGCATGATGTCACTCATGTTGGGGGCGGGCTGAGAGCCTGTGAAAATGGGCTCCCGAGCTCCATTTTCAGCTGGAAGGCCTCCTGCAACCCTCTGCTAGCGAAAATGGAGCTCAGGAGAGCTGTGCGCAGCTCTCGCAAGCTCCATTTTCACTGGGTTATGCACCACGGGGCGGTCCTTTGCTGTTCCCAGGGCATCCTCGCAGGCCACATCTAAGCAGCTCTTCGCATGCACACACTGGGAACAGGCTCCAGATGTTCTTCTGCCCCACTGAACTCCGATTCCGAAGGCAGCTGATAACTGTTGGACAGCCCTGGCGCCATCTCTGCCTCCAACACAGAGCCCTCATCCGAGCCTTCCCCAGACTCCAGGACTGGCCCATCTTCCTCCCCAACCTCCTCACTGGTCTGGGTCTGTCACCAGCTCCACTGGCCGCTGGTGGGCCACAACACTACTCCGAACTCAGCATTACCGCCAACATAACTCAAAGTGCAATCTTTACACATCACAGCTCAAGCCCACGTAATGGAATCCGACGGCGGATGCTTCTTAACTCATCTATCCGCGTGCCTCTCCAATTTTCAGGAATCTGAAGAAATGCCCATCTCCACTTACCATATTGCGTAACAAATGCGATACAGCTGTTGATTATAATCGGCACGTCATTTCTGCTGAGCTGCTGATCTTCTAACAGGTTGCCATTGGTACCGGCTGCTTTTTCAATGGCACTATACCAGACGGTGAAATCCAACTTGGTGTGGCCACGGATGTATAATGTTCTGCAAAAAAAGTTTGAGAAAAAACAGCAAAAAGTGGAGAGGGAGAGAGAGACAGAGAGAGACAGAGACAGAGAGAGAGAAAGAGAGAGAGAGAAGGAGAGAGACAAAGATAGAGAGAGACAGAGACAGAGGGGCAGAGAGAGAAAGAGAGAGACAGAGAGAGAAAGAGAGAGAGAGGAGAAAAACAGAGACAGAGAGAGACAGAGAGGCAGAGAGAGAAAGAGAGAGAGAGACAGAGAAGGAAAGAGAGAGAGAGAAAGAGAGACAGAGAGACAGAGAGAGACAGAGAGAGAGATATACAGAGACAGAGAGGCAGAGAGAGAGAGAGAGACAGAGACAGAGAGGGAGAGGGAGGGAGGGAGAGAGAGAGAGAAAGAGAGAGAGGGAGAGAGACAGAGACAGAGAGAGACAGAGAGGGCGAGAAAGAGAGAGAGAGAGAGAGAGAGAGATGGTATTGAGAGAGAGAAGCTTTTTGCCGAGGCTGCTGGCACTTCTAATAAAGGAATCATTTATTTAAATACAAAGGGTTGTGGTGTTTGGGGAGCTGGGTCAGAACAGCATCAAGACAGAACTATCTCCATCTGTCTTGAGCAGTTTTCAAAAGGTACGTACCCACGCACACATCTGCTAATGGGATATATGCCAAGATCTGTAGCAAATGCCTCCAACTGGTTTGCTCAGCCCTCATCCTTGTCTTAAGCACCTATAATTTACAGCTTACCTTCCTTTCTCAACCAGGAGCAGAACATCTGTTTTTTCTCCATTCTGGACGCAGCTGCTGATCGCTGAAACATGAAAGGCAGAGCTGTTGACACACTTAAAACAAATCCAGCTTTTTTCCTAAGTGCACGAAATCTATAAGGAAACTTACGCTCAGTAAGAGTGAGGCTTGGAAATAATCTCTTTTTAATAGCCCTTTGTCTCGGGGCATGGAATTAAGAGAAGTTAGCAAGTAGTAAAGAGGAAAGAAGCAGATATCTGGCTCAAGGAAACAAGAATGAAAGGAGGGGCTATTTCAGAGTAATTTATTTATTGCTGCTTGACAGGGGAGGGGAAGAGCAGGGAGAGGGAGGGGAGAGGAAAGGAGAGAAGAGAAGATATGAGAGATAAGAGAGATAAGAGAAGAGATGAGATAAGAAAAGAGAAGAGAAGATATGAGATAAGAGAGAAGAAAATAAGAGAGAAGAGAGATAAATAAGATGAGAAGAGAGAAGAAGAAAAGAGAGGAGAGAAGAGAAGAATAATGTTATTGTCATTTTAAATGTACACCAATGGGCATACATTAAAATGACATTTCATTGCATACAGCTCTGAAAATGTCACCACCTCCAATATACATTTTATAAATATGACAAAATAAGAGAGAGGGGGGGAGTGAGGGAGGGAGGGAAGGAAGGAAGGAAGGAAGAAAGAAAGAAACAAGCAAAGAAAGAAAGAAAGAAAGAAAGAAAGAAAGAAAGAAAGAAAGAAAGAAAGAAGAGAAAGAAAGAAGGAAGGAAAGTGTTCGAAGTTACAACGGCCGTAGTCATGAGTATTGTGGTACAGCAGTGGCCTGCGGAGCTGGCAGCTGAGTCGGACAGTGAGGAGGTTGGGGAGGAACATGGGCCAGTCCTGGAGCCTGGAGAAGGCTCGGACGAGGGCTCTGTGTTGGAGGTAGAGAGATGACCAGGACTATCTGTGCTGCCTCCAGAGCCTGACATCGGCAAGGCAGAGGAACAGGGGGAGCCTGTTCCCAGTGAGTGCATGCGCAGAGCTGCCAGAAGGCAAGAACACGTTAAGACTAGCAACTCGGGAGTAAGTCTTGGAGATGATTGGCCCCTTCCATAAGACATAAAAGAGGAGCAAATGGAGGTGAGCTTTTGCAGGAAGCAACTTTGTTCGTTCTGGTCGGTTCAAACTCCGAGAAACTCTGTTTGACTCTGTGCTCCATTTGGCCTTGCAAATTGGCAATTAGCTCTCCAGCAGCGTTTCAAGGGAGATAAAGGTGGGTGCTTATGAGCCTTACCCTGAAAGACTGTGGCAGACTTCTGTCGGACTCTTCACAAACTGTTTGTGAGTCATTATGGGCTGTGAATGACCATAATTCACAGCTTTTTAAATAAGGGTTTTGGGATGGTGTGTGTGTTTTTTTTTAGTCTCAGGAAGCTTAGGTCAGAACAATGAGTCGAGAACTACCTGTATTTAAACCAAGATATCCCTATCTGTTCACAATAGATTTATGAAGTTTTCAAGCTGTTATGAAACCAATCTAATGTTTTTTTCTTTTTTCTTTTAAGCCTTACTTAACTCCTGGAGCCGCCTTAGATACATTGAATTCTCTTGCAAATTTTCCAGTTCCAGGCAAAAATACAAGCTGGTCTTCTCTAAAGCAAACCAGCCTTTTTTCCAAGTATCCAAGTCCTGGCAATCCTTGTAGAACAACTGGCCGATGACATCCGTCTCTCTTTCCTGAAGACCTCGGGCGAATTCAGGTACAAAGTGCTATTGCGAACAGAAACAAAAATTAGTGCAAAGTGCCCAGAGGATCATTGGTTGCCCTCTCCTCTCTTTGGAGGAGCTTTATAGCTCCCGCTGCCTTAAAAAAGTTCAAAACATTCTTAAAGATCGACCACAACCTGGGCAGTCTTTTTTTTTTTAACTATTACCATCTGGCAGCCGGTACAGGACAATAAAAACCAGGACAAATAGGCTGAAAAGCAGCTTCGATCGCAGGGCACTAACCATATTGAATTCTACTGTATAGTGAAGTGGTTCCCAAACTTGGCAACTTTAAGACTTGTGGACTTCAACTCCCAGAATTCTCCAGCCAGCAGCTTAAAGTTGCCAAGTTTGGGAACCACTGGTATAGTGCAATATTAATGCACTATCAGGTTTTCAATTTCAATTATATAGAATATGAAGGATGTGTGTTTGTGTTTTAATTTTATAGTTATAATGTACACTGAAGATGGCATTTAATTTCGTTGTATGAGGTGCAATGACAATAAAGTAAACTAAAAGCTAAAAACCAAAAAGAGAAGGATATAAAATCTTCTTCAAGTACAAAACAGAAAAGCCAGAATTTTGCTCAAGAAAGGAAATAAAACATTTATTCTTAAAATGGCTTCTACTGGTAAAAACCTGGAGTTTCTAAACCCAAGAATATCAAATCATTTTGATAAGTTCGGTTATTCCCTCTCAAAAGAGAGAAGGCTATAAAATCTTCTTCAAGCTAAAAAGTACTGGACTAAAATCCACACGTGAATTTTAAACCAGAGATATTTTTATTGGGGATTTTACCGGAAACGTATAGTAGAGAATTGAAATATTTGATTGTAAATGTGTTAGCGGCTAGAATTGTATTTCCTAAAACTGGAAAAATGAGAAAATACCAACACAGGAGGAAGTTATTTGTAAAATAATGGAATGTGCTGAAATGAGTAAATTGACATTTGAAATTAGAGAACAAGAAGATAAACAATTTTATAAGTTATGGGATTTATTTTACCAATGGTTAGGCAAAAAAATATGGAAATGAAATGTGACTGAGAATTTTACAATACAAGGAAAATGGAATGACACAGAATATAATATAAATATGTATTATTATTGGATGGATTTAGAAGGATGTAATGAATTGTTATAATATAA